AAAAAAAAAAAAACTTACTTTAGGTTCAAAATAATATTTAAATATGATTATACATACAATTTTTTGTGCAATTATAAGATTCTATTCCTGCCCGTGAAGATAATGTAGATTCCTAAGAGAAGAATTCACTTGTGACCCTGGCAGTTAGTAAATTTGATGCCAGTGGTAGCAAGAATATGGAAACTTGTATGTTCATTTTTAACATTGATAATATTCTCTAAAGCGGCTTTTGACTCAGTGTTTGGGATTTGTTATTTTATTTCCTTAAGTGGTATTTTTATCAGATTGGTATTTGAAAGTTTCTTTTCCTGTCTCTTTCTTTCTTTCCTTCTTTTTTTGAGTCAGAGGCTTGCTCTGTTGCCCAGGCTGGAGTGCAGTGGTGCAATCCCGGCTCACTGCAACGTCTGCCTTCTTGGTTCAAGCAATTCTCTTGCCTCAGCCCCCCAGTTAGCTGGGACTACAGGAGCATGCCACCACACCTGGCTAGTTTGTTGCGTTTTTGATAGAGATGGGTTTTTGCCGTCTTAGCTAGGCTGGTCTCAAACTCCTGACCTCAGGTGATCCATCTGCCTTGACCTTCCAAAGTGCTGGGATTACAGGCATGAGCCACTGGGCACCTGGCCTGTTTTCCTTTTTTTTTTTTTTTCTTTTTTTTTGCTGTTAGCAACAATTGAAATAAGACTGTCATTTGCAGCAGAAGGTGGTTGTTTACTTGAGTCAGAGGTAGAGCCTGGGAGAGGGAGGCTTAGCACTCTGTTCTTCCAAAGCAATTTTTCTTACTGTGTGATGTAGGCAATTTGTGACTGTGAACAAATAAACGTATTGTTCCATCTTTCCTACTGTATTCTTCTCCATAGCACTTACCACCTTCTCACATGCCAAATATTTTGCTTGTTTGTCTTACATCCCTGCATGCAAACTTGTACATCCCATAGCCCGCAGGCTACATGCAGCCCAAGATGGCTTTGAATGGGGCACAACACAAATTCGTAAACTTTCTTAAAATATTATGAGATTTATGCATGGACCTTTTTTAAAAAAAATTATTATTATTTTGTTCATACCAAAGTTTTTAGTTTACTAAGCTTCTCGTGAAAAATCCACAACGGCCATAGATAACATCATTGCAGCACCTTTACTCCTTCGGCTGTGATCCAATCTCCAGCTCACTTTTTGCCTGCGCCAACATTGGCCTTTGCAGTCCCCCTGACTTCCTTCATTCTGTTCTTGCGTTCCTTTCGTTGCTTTCTTGAGGTCTTTTTCTTCTCATACAGGCCATGTCTTGCAGGTCTATGTTTGGGTTCATTTTTCTTTGCATAATCCAGGGAACCATAAATCATGCCAAAGCCAGTTGTCTTGCCACCACCAAAATGAGTTCTGAATCCAAATACAAAGATGACATCCGGTGTAGTCTTGTACATTTTGGCTGGTTTTTCCTGAATTTTTGTCTTAGGCACTGTTGCCTTCCCGGGGTGAAGGACATCAATGACCATTTGTTTCCTCTGAAGCAGTTGGTTGGTCATGAACTTTCTAGTGCAGATAGTTACTGTGTCGTTCATGATGGCGGCCTATCCTTACACAGCCAGAGAGGAAAAAAGCAGTTATTTTATTTTTAGCCTATTAGCTATTGTTAGTATTACTGTATTTTATGTGTCGCCCAAGACAATTCTTCGTCTTCCAGTGTGGCCCAGGGAAGCCAAAAGATTGGACCCCCCTAAATTTTAGGGTCTATGAAAGCAAGTTTTGTTTTATTAATTGCTATATTCCCAACTCACAGAACAGTGCCTGGCAGTTAGTAGTTGCTCAATAAATATTTCTTGACTGACTAAATAGAGAAATTTGACTTTGAGAGTTCCTCTGATTTGTTGGCTAAAAAGATTTCATTATTTCAAAAATAAGGAAGTCTCCAGACTGCTTTCCACAGTGGCTGGACTAATTTACATTCATTCCCACCATCAGTGCATAAGTGGTCCCTTTTCTCTGAAGTCTCACCAGCATCTGGTTTTTTTTTTTGTTGTTGTTGTTTTAATTTTTAACACACACACACACACACACACACACACACACACACACACACACATATATATATATATTTTTTTTTTATTGAGACAGAGTTTCACTCTTGTTGCCCAGGCTGGAGTGCAATGGCATGATCTTGGTTCACTGCAACCTCCGCCTCCTGGGTTCAAGCAATTCTCCTCCCTCAACCTCCTGAGTAGCTGGGATTCCAGGCATGCTCAACCACACCCAGCTAATTTTGTATTTTTAGTAGAGACAGGGTTTCTCCATGTTGGTCAGGCTGGTCTCAAACTCCCGACCTCAGGTGATCTGCCTGCCTCGGCCTCCCAAAGTGCTGGGATTACAGGCATGAGCCATTGCATCCAGCTAATTTTTTATTTTTTATCAGTAGTTTGAAAAACTACCTTTTGGGTACTATACTCACTCCCTAGGTGATGGGAACCATACCCCAAACCTTGACATCATGCAATATTCCCGTGTCACAATCCTGTATATGTACCCCCTGTATCTAAAATACAAGTTGAAATTAAAAAAATAATAATAAAGAAATAAAATCCTAGCCAGGCACCGTGGCTCATACCTGTAATCCCACCACTTTGGGAGGCTGGGGCAGGTGAGTCACTCAAGGTCGTTAGTTCAAGACCAGGCTGGCCAACGTGGTGAAACTGCATCTCTACTAAAAATACAAAAATGGGCTGGGTATGGTGATGCACACCTGTAATCTCAGCTACTTGGAGGCTGAGGAACAAGAATGGCTTGAACCAGGGAGGCGGAGGTTGCAGTGAGCCAAGATCCCTCCACTGCCCTCCAGCCTGGATGACAGAGTGAGACTCTGTCTCAAAAAATAAAAGAAAAAAAATCCCAAGGAAGTAAATGATAGCTTGGAAGAGTAAAATTCATCTGCACATTCTATTCTCAGGGTCTTACATTTTTCTTGGAGCAGCCTTAAATTTACTATATTTTTATTTCATTAAATACAGATGGAAATCATTCCTACCACCATACCATACATGCAAGATGACTGTATCTCATCCTGGCTAAAACCTAAGAAAACTCTGTTCACTGTAACAAAGTCTAATGGAAGCGTGACAACATGGCTCTTAGGCATTAAAGTCTAGTAAGACCAAAATAATAATAAAATTCAGTATGGGGGCATTATCCCTTGAAAAACAACTTCACTTGTTTTGCTTAGAGGCTGATATTGACCCTGAAAATTGGTCAAATCAAGCTTCTGATGTTAATTTGGGGTTGTTATCAGTATTCTGCATGTACAAATAATTGGGTTTGAAATGTGTTTTAAGCCTGAATTAAAAGAACTTAGTCACTGATGATTCATAGTGAGAAGTTTTCCTTTTCCCTGCTGGAACATAGGCTTTTACCTCCAACATGGCCTTTTTAAAACAATTAAAACATAAAAAACCCTACTTCTATGTGACAGTTTCTGGAAAAGTTCTGTTTAGGTTTAAAGTGGTGACCACTTATTACAATGCTGCTTAGTAGCTACACTAACTACAATTGAGTTTCCAAATTTCCATACAAATTTCTTTAGTCTCTGCCTTTATGGAAGTATCCTTAATGATTGTGAAATACTCAAAAGTTCACTAACTAGTATATAAATAACCACAGGGACTTTATTTTGTTCATTATTGTATTCCTAGTGCCTAGAACAGTGCCCTGCACAGAGAAGCCAATTAGTAAGTATTTGTTGAGTGAAATCACACACATTTTTTTTTTTTTTTGAGACGGAGTCTTGCTTTGTTGCCCAGGCTGGAGTGCAGTGGTGCGATCTCGGCTCACTACAACCTCCACCTCCCGGGTTCAAGGGATTCTCCTGCCTCAGCCTCCAGAGTAGCTGAGATTACGGGCAACCACCGCCACACCCAGATAATTTTTGTATTTTTATTAGAGGTGGGGTTTCACTGTGTTGGCCAGACTGGTCTCGAACTCCTGATCTCAGATGATCCACCTGCCTCGGCCTCCCAAAGTGCTGGGATTACAAGTGCGGAGCCACTGCACCTGGCCACATAGATTCTTAATAATAGTGCATCTTAGAAAAATAATGAAAGTATTGAAATAAATTTTATACAGGTTTTTTGAATTAGGTAGTCATCAATTCACAATCAGCCTAGTTTGGGCATCTCTCAATATTAGCCCAAGGTAGTTCTGTCCTAATAGGTCCTAGCATTGATTGTGCCAATCTTAAATCTCCTTTAGTGGATCTCTTACAAAAGGAAGGGTAAATTGCCACCACCCATAGGCACTTGCACCTGTGGGAACCAATGGGCGTTGTAACAGGAAATACTTCAGCTTGCAATACTGATAGTAACGTGTGGCACCAAGGTCACGCTGTTTTTATCTGCAGTTCCTTTTTAGTATTGTACAAAGTTTCTTGGAGATTTTTTAATATATAAGTTTAAAAGAGAATTAACTTTCAATTTGAAAATTAAAACGGGAATGGTTGCCTTTTCTTCATTACCAAGGAAATGGTGAGTTGTCCTGTGAGTAAGTTGGTTCTTTTCTTTCTAATACTGTGTTCCATGAAACCTTACTCTGGCATGCAGAAAGGGAGAGTGGAGGGTACATAAGTGTAAAATAAGTAAAACTTAAGCTGATATCATTATCAATCGTAGTAACCACTTCTGATATCTGCTTCATACCATAACCGTGAGCAGTGATAGAATTTCATAGATTTTTATATAAGATTAGCTTGAGCAAGTTTTCCTCTTTTGTAGATACTGGGGGGCAGAATTCTGGAAAAATTTTTAGAGAGTTCTTTCTAAAATGTCGAAATGCAAAGCTGTATAAATTGCTGTTGACGTTAGCTGTCTGACCAGGAAGTACTCTCTTTAAGCCTCACTTATAAAACTAAGTGTCTGTAATAACTTCCTTTCTCGGGATGAAGTTGCTGATAGCCTGGGGTGTTCTTATAACTTGAGTTCAGTTTTATCCTTCCTGTGAGTAAGAGGCAGTTTTTTAAATGAAACCATCTCTGGAGAAAGTGTATTGATTGTTGTAGCTAAATACAGAATTTTTAAAGTCTTTAGTATGTTGAACTGGAAATATAGGACATGCGTTTGAGATCTACTGTGAGTAAGCATCATTGGTATTTTATTTTACATTTAAGGTTTTATTATAAATATGGTTTGTGTCTAAACATTGTTTAAAAAATGAGTAAACTCTGTTGAATTTCATGTGAAATATTTATGGCCTTAGCTCAAAGTCCAGCTGAGAGTAATCAACCTCAAAAGTCATTGGATTCATATGCTCTATTTAATTTATAGTTTGTTATTCTACAAATAAGAGTGGCAGTTTTTCAAAAACAAATTTATTTTTTTTTTCTCCTGGATAAGTAAGGTAAATGCTGAGCATCAAATAAAATATCAAAATTTTGTCAGAAGAGTCTTTTAAACAAAAAGCTTGAATTATACTAAAGGTCATCTCAAATGGATGCAGTTTGTGCTAATGGATATTATTACTTTAAAACAATATTTCAGAATCAAGCTACGGCACACTGTTCATCTGAGAGATCTTTAAAAGTAACAATCCTGCCTCCTATTTTTCTTCATTCACAGGAAGGGAAAATAGTATAGAAAGAGCAGTTTCTTGAATGTAATACCAAATTTAGAGACAGAAAAATCAGACTGGTCACATTTATTTTGTTTTGTAACTTTTTAAATAAATTTAATACATAGGGTTAGCTACTTAGTAAAGCATAAAAATAAAACATTTAGCCATTAGGTTATTAACAATTTATATGACTGCTGTAGTCCATAAAATGAATTTAGATAAAGTAGGAAAATAGATACTTTTTTGTTTGATGTCTCATCATTTGTATGTTAAAAAGTTAATGCAAAACATGTTGTAAAATCAGGAAAGCTACCTCAATAATTTCTTTACCAACTTCACTAGGCTGTTGGAATGAGGTTTAAATTAAATGCGTAGGCTAACATGTGACTGTAATATCCAAAATCATAAAACTGTTTATGTTAAATATGTAAATTAAGTCTTATAATTATCCGTAGGATGAGTTTTCATTTAAGAAGCATTGCAGTGGATATTACGGGGTGGGTAAGGGCTATTTTTTCTAATATATGAAAAAGGAAACTTTAAGTGTCAAATAATCTTTAAAATGTGATGTTATATATCATGTGCTTTTTCCTTAAGATTTATGAATGTTTAAAACTTAAAAGTACAAACTATACAAATTTCAGCTTTCATAGAGAGGCCTTTTATGATTGTCTGAATGTTATATTAGCAGTCTAGAAATATCCCAGTCATAGCTTGGATGGGGGTGAAGCAGAGGAAGTGGGTGGTACTTCATGATGACAGATTATTGCAGATTATATGGCTGCTTTCCAAAATGACACTGTTGAAGGGAAAAGTAGAAGTTACAAACTGCATCCTATTAATTTGTACATGTTTATTTAACCAGTTATAACTATTTGCTTGTTTTATACACAGATGATAAGTTTTAAACTCCTGAATCACTTAATATGTGCTTAATCTTCTATAGTTTATTGTGATCATATTCCTTATCTCTGGTCTGCAAAGATCACACTGACCCTTTTGTAGAAAGCCATGTGTTAGCAGAAAAAAGATGGGGGAAGGACGACAGAATTTAAAACTACAACTGCTTTATTTTCTAGTTAAAAAAAGTTCTGAGTTAAAATGTAAGGATGTCCCATCACATTTAGATAATTTATATAAAATACAGCATACTAATACAAGTAATCGTATCTTATGAAAAAGTTGATAGTTCTAGATTGTTCTGGTTTAGCTTGAAATTGAGAGTCTTACCGTTGCAACATAAAAGGAAGCTTTGTGAAGGAAATATGACATCTCTGCCCAGATGCATAAGGAGAGAATTACAGTGGGGAGTTATTTTTAGAAGTATCTTATGAATACATTTTATGTACTGAGTACATTTTTTTACAGGTTAGTTTCACTGGTAGGAGTTACGCAAGTTGCTCTGGT